ATCAACTCCATTCTGGCAGGAAAGCATTAATCTAATGCGTTCCTGACAGTAACCATCGGTATGATGGATATCTATTCTGCCATTAAAAAGGCCAGCTTCAGAAATCAAATAAACAGGTCTCACTGCATGCTATCTCTTTAGACTAAAGACACTTTCATACCTGCACAATTCTGGGACTTTGATTCCACATTAATTGCCATGGCTGCATCCTATGGAATTCTGGGACTTGTAGTTTCATGAGACCCTAGATCTTTATGACTGAAAAATTCTAAAAGCCTCTCAGTACTCTGTGAATGGCAGATTTCCATTGGATGGAACCAAATCAGTTAGAGTGGAATCATAATAATATAATTGTGCAATGTGAAAGAACAACTGATCTGATCTTTAGACAGAATCAGAGGCACAGCCTTACTTGAGTTTCCTGTTAAATCTTTCCTCATTTACTATGCTGAAAAAATCATGAAACAAGTATAACTTTGGCAAAACTTGATGCAATTTAAAGGATTAGCAAACTGTTACATTTCAGGGAAGAGAGGTGTAAGTTATGTTGCTGCTGCTGCACCTGTGCTAGTCACCTTTAGAGCTGTTTTTGTGCTTTCCAATAAATAGTGTATAAATATTGAAAGAAATATTTCAGTATATCAACAGGGGGCTGTTCCAATAGAGTGGAACATCTGGAGGTAGTCACTATTTCCCTCTCCACAGCATCCATAATCTGTCAGTTAAGCAATTTTTGTCAGTTTGCCAAATGGCTGGCCCTGCCATTCTAGAACTCGATGCATTATATTTAAGTTCAATGTTTAATATCAGTAGGTCTGCATATCTCTGAGAAGCACAATGGGAACTTGGAAGATCAACAGTTATTTAACATGGATCCCTTATTAGGAGAAATGTGGGATATGGATGGATGGAAGGTGAAATAGGAGATGGCATTTGATTCTTTGCCCATTATCATCATCATCATCATCTGGTATCAGTTAAGTGCCTTGGCAGTGATCCTGCAGAATGCAGGTGGAGTGACATGATTTACCTAAGCACTCATTAATACACAAGGCACACACAAACAAGCAAGAGTAAATAAATTTTAAGTACCAAGGGACTGGATTTTAGGAATGGACTTGAGGGAAGTATTAGTCTGGAATTAAATAAGGTCACACAGATTAATGACAACTACCCTCCACAACTCATTCATTGTTGCTGCTCCTAAGAGAGCCACTTTATGAAAGAGCACTGAAAAACCTCTGATGGCTTCAGATATTTTATTTTAGCTTGGAATTCTGTGATCAATTAACTCCCTCTCTGCCATAAGTCTACACCCCTCCTCTTTCTTGTGCCTCTCCATCTCTTGGTGTTTTCTTTTTATGGAAAGCTTGGAGAAGTTTAAATGTATGAATTGGCTAGTGGGAAATAATGTTAAATTGTATCTTCTGAAACTTTGAGATGCCTTGTTTCTGTTCAAAATTCAGAATTCATGCTGTTCCCATACCAGAAGATAGTACATTTGCTTTTGGGGACTCCATTCCCAGAATTCCACAGGAAACATGGCTACTGCCTGTGCTGATTGGAAGATTCTGCATATTGTCATCCAAAACATAACTTTCCCAGACATAATTTAGTACAGTTTGTTTAGACAGCTGGGGTCTTTCCTGTCTACTCCATGCTTCTATTATGTTGTATGCTTTAAAACACTGAAAAGGAGGGAGGGTAGGAGAGGGAGGAAAACGGAATGTAGCAGCACATTTAAGACTAACAGGTTTTAATTTTAGCATGAGTTTCTACAAATGCAGAACATAGTGATATCAACTAAAAAAAATCAGTGTTACAGGAGCTGTTATATTCCTTTTTTTCTCTCCCCCTTCTTTTTATGCTGCAAGAGACTAATAGCTATTTATTTAAAACACTGAGATTATTGCCTGCATTTTTATTTTCATACAACTGTTCTTAGATACATATTTTTCTTTTAAAGCTAAGTTTTAAATGGAACATGCATTAAAAATGGAAAAAAGGAACTCACCAAAGAGGAATTCAAACAAATAGCGAACAAGTGTAGGCCTAAACTCAAAAAAGCTAAAGTGCAGAATGAGCTGAGGCTTGCTAGAGAGGTTAAGAACAACAAAAAGGGCTTTTTGGGTATGTCACTAGCAAAAGGAAGAAGGAGGAAATGGTAGGGCCACTGCACAGAGAAGATGGCAAAATGCTAATGGGTGCAGAGGAAAAGCAGAACTATTCAACACCTTCTTTGCCTCATTCTTCTCAGAAAAAGAAAAGGGTGCTCAACCTGAGGAAAATGGAGCAGAGGACACAATAGGGGAAATGCAGCACAGAATAAGTAAAGAGATAGTACAGGAATACTTGGTTAATCTAAATGAATTTAAGTCTCCAGGATTTATATTGAGATGGATGTTTTGAGCTCTTCCTCGGTCATGTTTTTGGAAAGAAAAACAGCGAGTAAGTAGGAGACCATGATGTATGAAAGGACTGAGTCCTGACATTGAAAGCCGAGTGACTGAATAGAATTCTTTCTTCTTGATTTCTCACATTGTGATCAGACCAGAGGCCTGTATGATAGCCAACGTGGTCTAGTGGTTTGAACATTGGACTACAACTCTTGAAACCATGGTTCAAAGCCCTGCTGGGCCATGGAGGCCCACGGGATGATTTTGAGCAAGTCACACTTTTGCAACCTCAGTGGAAGTTAAAGGCAAATGCCCTCTGAACAAAGGGCCTTTACAGACTGCCAGAAATAATGCAGCTTGAGGCTACTTTAATTGTCCTGGCTCAGTGCTAAGGAATCATGGGAACTGTAGTTTATTGTGGCACCAGAGCTCTCTGACAGAGAAGGCTCAATGTCCCAGAAAAAAAATACAATTACCATGATTCTTTAGCACAGAACCAGGACAGTTAAAGCAGCCTCAAGCTGCATTATTTCTGGCAGTCTATAAAGGCCCAAAGTTTGCCAACAAAACCCTGTGATAGGTTCACTTTTAGGGTCACCATAAGACTGAAGAAAGGCAGAAAGAACTTGTAGGCAGTCAACAACAATCAGCAAGGAGCTAGATCTAAATTTCTTCCTGGATTCACAGTTCATTCAGCCAAGAAAGGAGAAGAGCCATGGCACCATTTTGGAGCCCCAGTGTTCTTCCATTGGGAAGGGAAGGGAAGCCTTCTTCATACAACTGAGCCATAATAATAATAATAATAATAATAATAATAATAATAATAATAATAAATTTTATTTATAGCCCGCCCCTCTGCTCGGCAATCGGGGGGGGGGGGTTATGGCATTTTAAAACGTACAAAGTTAAAAACATTCCCTCATCCCGGAATCCCCCACCCATCCCCTAAAACAAGATTAAACTATAGAGAAATTTAAAATGCCGTAATACAATAAAATCAACAAAACAATAAGGCATCCATGATACAAGGAGCACTAAAAACCATCTCCCCTAGAGCCAGGGGAT